CATTAAAAACCTTCCATCTTTAGGTTTACCCTTATAGTTGGACATTGTCTCATCATGAGAATGGACTTTGAATAATTTGACAATGTCGGACCATCAATCACAACTTTGTTTCTCCTTGAACCTAGAGGTTGGGTCTGCCAATCCTGCTTAGGTAGAGTTACCGCCATGAAGATTTGTCCTAGGCCACGAGTCCATTCCCTTCGATGCTGTCGTTAATTTCTAGGTAGGCCTAACGTTTGTTATCACTTGATCTAAGATGATCAATCCAAATAACTTTGCTAGAAATTAATCAATCCATAGTGTTACGTTTCCATTATCTTTGACGAGATTTATCACATAACACTCCTAGCCCTTGCAATAACACCTTTCTTTGCGTGCCAAACTACTCAACTTCACCGGTCTTAGAGTTTAACTTGGACGTTTTCCAAGATACTGCTCCTCGTTAACCATAAATGCATATCCATTAATGGACTATGGCTTTTGGTTCATCCGGTGAGTTCCCTTTGGGTACAATACACCAAAGACTCGTCTCTTTTTTCAATTCACTACCCATCTTGTGAGCTTGACTTGATTTTATTGCCTTGCAATAATCATAACACATGTCAATGGTATTGAAGTCTCTCCACTTCATTAACCTTAAAGTACTTGAGCTTCACAATTATCTCTTTAAATGTAGTGACATTTATGACTTAGCTTAGGATTTACGCAAATCTTCTAAGTATCACTTTCACTTTAGAAACATCCAAGCGACATTCCACATTACTTTCCCCCCAATTTATCCCCCACATTTCAACTATTTCGCCATAGTTGTTGAAACCAACGTTTCCAGTTTGGGGAATGTTGTTCATATACATTCATGTATATGGTAAAAATCATCTCTCTTTGGGAAGAGTGGACCAACATCAATAAATATTCTAGCCTCTGACTTAACGTCAATATATGATAGAGTTTACTCATAAGTTATACCCTTGGACTGGGTTAACTCTACAAGGTTTAAGGACACCTTCATACTTTCAAGTATGACTTCGCTTACCTTTCCTCTTTTGTCTTATGGATAGGTTTGCGTCCCATTGTAGGGTCTTGAGATAGTAGCCGAAACAATGGCTAGCTCTTCTCCCCCACAATTCTACCCTTTGCCAAACATCATGGAATAATCCCATTTATTTTCCATGGTTTTACTTATTGAACTTGCCAACCACTATATGTAACTAATTGTTTACCAATGGTATGATCTCACTCGATTAGCATACCACAAACAATTCAGATTTTATTAGAAAAATCATCCAATTACTTACCAATGGTATTGATCTAGGCAACTTGAGACGTCATAAGTAATTCAGATGCATTCCAGTAATGGAAATATCATCTAATTACTTTCCAATGACATTTCATATAGGTAACATGTTATACCACAAGTAATTCAAACGAATTTCTAATTCAATTGTCTAATTACTTTCCAATGGTATAAACTTCATAAATATACCACAAGTAATCCAGTCTTTACGTTCAATCAGATCATCTCAATTGAGCTCTCATTCCAATTGTTTTCCAATGATATACATCTGTATATACCATAAACAATTTTGGCAATTAGCTCCACGTTGATAATCATAGTCAAATTGTTTTCCAATGGTATAGTGTACTTATACCACTCAACATTATGACCTAATGCTTATCCTGATGACAACCATCATTTGGCAAGCTTATTAAATCCCTATAAGGATCAATTACTTCATTTTCCTTGCTCTCGTGGCATAGGAAACATCAAGTCCTAAACCACATACATGATAAATAAATTATCATGTCTTCACAACTATCACAGGAACTAGAATTCCTTATCGCTTGTAGCTGTCTCGTAATGCAAACCTACTCTTTCAAACTATGTCCAACATACTATGAACATTACGTTTGCAACCATTCCGGCTTAGATAGACTTGATTCACAAGTCCCCACTAGCCTTGCACCATAGGTTTTACACACCTATGATTGTTCATATTCTCCCACTAGATAGTTTACTACTATCCAAACCACCGTTACTTAGAGTCCATGAAGGATTATAATAAGTACTTCCATCATCTCATGCATCACCTTGAATGAAGTCCAAATTAAATTGGCACATTTATCATTCATCCATGCCACAAAAATGAAATGGACCAATGCAATAAAAGCATTAAAACTTTGTGGTTAATTTTGGAACCAAACAAACTCGTAAGGTTTTATCCAACTAATTTTCCATTTGGGAGATAAGAACATTTGTCCTTATTCATCATGTAAACACATGACTTACATAGGTACACACATATTAATACCATATGTATAATACACACATACATATGTCTATTCCTCAAAGGAGATTACAATACATATACAAGACTTCTAAGGATTCTTGGGGTCGAAGTCAGGATCAGAGAGGCATTCATCGGTCGCTATGTCGGAGTACTCCTCCTCGTTCTCCGATTCCTCAAATTCCTCTTCTTCCCCCATACTCTCCATCGAGTCCACATGGGTGCCCAAATCGTCCACATTAGGACCCATTGAGTACCAATCATAGATGGGTATATCATCTAGAGTCCAATAATTGGTTGGATGCTTTTCACCAATGTCATTATATAGCGAACAAGGAGGAGTACCAACTTGTCGAAAGACTTCTCCTCTCTTATGTCCTCTAAGGTCTACAAACTGGTTGGATGCTCCCACCAATTACACAGGGACATCCCATCGATTCATGTAGAATATTTATTCTACTGCGCATGATCAGAATAGGAACCGATCGAGTGCTTCTTTCTTATACCATCAAGTCATCAACAAGTACATCTTTTCTTCCTTACTTTCCAGTACAGGATCCGAACATATATATGTATGTTTCACTGTCGGAACCAAATTTCCAACAGAACCAAGTTCCTTTCTTTCCTTAAATGACAGAAACAGAAGAAAAGAAGAACATATATGTATACACACACCATATATATCACAAATAAACACTTATATATACATAACATATATATATATATATATATATATATATATATATATATATATATATATAAAGGAAACAGACATTCTTTTCGGTTAACATAAAATCATGTAGAACAACGATGTCGACCTTATAGAATTAAACATGTCCAGAATTTCATGCACATATATAATCTTTGCCTAACGCCAAACACATATAAATGTGTTTACAATCAGCGACACTTATAAATATATATACATGCATTAATGAGATTCAGGAAGTACCTTTCTGGTGCTTTTGCAATCGAGTTCCTTCCTTTCTTTCACCCCGGTTAGTGGCAGTATATCCAGACAATTGATCATACAAACCAAAACATATATATACATACCGTATATATATTGAATATATATATAAAACATATATATACGAAACATCATGACCATTCATAATTTCCATTAAGCCGAAGGAACAGTGGAACACGGAAACTTCATCATCAGTTATATATGTCATATTCCAGATGCATTCATGGATACCAAGTAACAAACAGAATCATGTATGGTTCTTTTCATAACCCGACACAAAACAGTTAAATCTTATTGCATCCATGAAACGCCATTTTCTTATACAAAACACATAGATTAACGACGAGATGAAAACTTTAATTCTGATCAAGAAAAATTGTATACGTGAATATCAAAATAAGATTCTTTAAGATTGTTGGGGAAATTGTTCACGTATACTATTTTCTTGCAACACAAGCAAACACATAAGATTAAGAAAACATGCAAAGACACATGCAAGCGTCCTAGCCGATAGAATTCACTATCTCTCCTTAAAGAATCTTATTCCCCTCAAGTACCCAAGGTTGTGGAATGATTCCTCCCAGGATAGAAAGGACGTACCTTTTCCGGCGTAGCGGTACCTCAAACCCCGGAAACACCATCGAACGCAGCGAAACGGCGAGAACCACACTTGACTCTATTTTCTCTTTGAAAAGAATGCAGAAAAACTAGTTTTGGATTTTTGGCAGAATTTCAGTACCGGGAAAAATCTATGTAAAACTCGTTGTAAAAACAAGAGGGGGTATGGTGCTATTTATAGAAAATGAAGGGATGCATTGAAGGGAGGCAACTCTTCATATGGGAGGTTACACCCCAACCATTGCATTGGTTCGTTTAAAATATTTCAACCATTGCATTGGTTCGGCCTCATGGAAGTTGGACCGGTTTGGTTATTCCAACCGCCACATCGGTTCGGTTCGATTTGGTTCAACTTGGTTTGGTTCATTTGGTTATACAAACCAATTTAACCAACTAACCACATATTACATCAAATTGATCGAATTCGAGGCCATGCCTTCTCACATCTTACCAACATGGTACTTCAAGAGACTCTCTTGAAACTTTCCCCTTTTATTTCCATTCACACCACTAAAAATCCCAACAGAGACTCGCTACCTGCAGATCGCCATAATTTTCAACCTTCCAAACAGTGGATAACAGTCAACCACCATAGTTTTCGTCATCCATTTATCAGATGTTCCTCATATATCTGTCCCACTAGCAAATTGATTAGTAGAATTCATGCGTTCAAAGCAGCAGTAGCACAGGCCAAGCTGTATAGCATATGTTCCAAGCTGCAAATTAGCCGAATCAAATCGAGTTATGTCTTAATCTGGACCTGACGCGTTAATGAACGAGTCGATTTTCGAACTGAGTTATAACAAAAGATGCCTTCTCAATTAGAAGGGAAGCTCTCACATGGCCCTTTCCTAGCTGGTTTAGATTCTTGAAGGAACAAAGCATATGACTTCCGTTTCGTGGTGTTACCGACATGAACAAATTTCTCTCTCTTTTTTTTATATTTATTTAGGACTATTGCTTAGCAGGACAGGCAGACAGATGCCAATACCAAAACAGAGGCAGCAACCATAATCAGAATAAAGGCATCCTCCATGTTCCATACAACAGAACCCTTTTAAGCAATTATCAAACAACAAATAGCATAGTGAAACCCTCACAGAAATCAAATAAGAGTATATAACAGAGGGAAAACAACTGGACCAATATATAATAATATCATGATAAAACTATATCGATTTGGTCACTGCTACAATTGTCCGGTACGATATCACAAACACTGGGAGAGAAAAATAGACAAATAGTAACATTCACAAGGTAATTAATGAACAGATGAAAAATAAAACAGCCTATTGAATAGCTGCTTCCCTAGCCCATTTCATAGCAGCAGGATTTCTCTCTCCCCTATGAAATTCCAGATGAATAAACAACAAACACAAATCTTTCGTAGATCTACAACTACTAAACATAATTCAAACATAAAAGAATGAAGCACGAACATTGTTATTATGTATACTAAGCATAATGTTACCTAAAGCATGGCGGGCGAATGAGAAATTCTCACCCAAAATCTGACGAATCAATCTACTCAGTTCCCACTTGATTTCTTGGTGTCCTGCATGTACTCCTCCATCTCATCCAACCACAGGTCTGCAAACTCGCAATTCTTCCACGCATCGAACCACGGCCCTCCCCTGGTATAATGTATGGCCTTGGGGAGGGTGGAAGCGTCACCTTCCACAGCCTTGTTATGGCCCTCCAGGAAGTTCCACGCAAAGGGCACTTCCCCAATTTCTTGATCATCAAGCCACTGGAACCTGTGCAGATAAGCGCCCGTCTGGGTATTCACAACTTCTGGGGTCAGCACCTTGTTCTTCGGGTGCCCGCAGTTGTAGAGCACCATTGAGGACCAGTTCTTCCTTGGGTAAACGGTCTGAACCGCGCCATCCATCTTGGTGGTTTCCTTCGGGGTGTAGTCATGGTGGACGCACATGATGGCGTACTTATCGTCCACCAGATCGAGGAGCTGCTTGATGTCGGCCAGATAGAGGAAATCGCAGTCGACGAACATTGCCCACCCGTCGTAATCGGCCAGGTGCGGGGTGAGGAAACGGGAGAAGGAGAACTCGGTGCTCTCCAGCTTGCCTCGCTCCCGCCAATACAGGCCGCTCTTCCGGAGGTCGGACTGGATGATCGGATGAATCTCCACCGGGATGGAAGATCTCTTGAGGATGGAGTGTCGGCAGACCTTGTACGCCAGATCTTCGCGCGGATCGTAACCGACGAAGATCTTGAACGGCTTGGTTCCGCCCTTCTCTCCGCCGTTGGCAGCGGAAGGGTGAACCTCGCCGCCGTTGGCCATTGTCATCGCAGCAGCAGGCTCCGGTTTCGGGATCTCAAACCGCGGTAATCTCACCTAGACAGAACGCAACAGCAAAACAAGCAAAATTGAGAGAAAGCACAATGTCGGCCGAACGGAAATCGCCAAATCGGCGGTTCGGATTTAAGATTCCTCTGGTTGAAAGTAACAATTAACTCGGAGGAATATTGAACGGCGATAAAATTAGAAGTGAGAGGAAGCTAGATCCATGGCGGATTGGCGGGTAAACAAAATTGCAGCAGGAAATAAGCAGAAACAGAGGGGGGAAGAGAAGATGGGAGTACCTGGAGAAGCGGAATGCAGATCTCGAAGGAGGATGGAGAAATGGGAGAGAAATGGAGGAGAATGGAATTCGACCTTCGATTTGGATTGGATTTCAATGGCGATTCTGGAGGGAGGGAGGGAGGAAAGGAGGGATGTAGACTTCGCGGCGTAGCTATTTATAACCCTCCGCCAGAAGCGGAAGGGAAAGATGGCAGAAATTGAAATTGGGAAAAAGGAAATTATTTTGTGTGTGTGATTGGGGTTTTTTTTTATGGGGTGTGTGATTGGTTTGATTTGATGACGATGAAATGAAACCCGTGGCCCGTGGGAGGCTGGAGTCAAGGTTGTTAGTCCGCGGGTTGATCCGGACCCGGTTGAGTTAGTGGGTTAAGGGTTAATGGGTAATCTGTTTTAGTCCGGTATAACTCAGAAATATGAAATGAGTCATTATATTTTACTTATTCTGATAAATTATATCAAATTTCATCTAACATATGAGTTATAACATATAATATTACACCAAAATAACATGTCGTACTTAAATCCAACATATAGTGAAAATTCACACACACTTATATAACATCAATATTCAATTGTTCAACTTAGGATTCCAAAGATCCAAAGATTGAGTTAGGCGAAAAGAAAAATCAGAAAATAGACGCATTTCGCAAACCAAAGTAAAAAATGACACAATTTGACCTCCAACCCGGTACCCTGTAGCGGTCGACAAGGCGGATGCATGCGCCCCATTTTTCTCACCGAGCCAGGGTCAAAGTGGGTCGACCCGCGGGTCGAACCACAGGTTGACAACCTTGCTCGGATTTGGGAGACTGTAAGTATATGTATTTTAATATCAAATAAAAAATTTTTGAATATTTAATAGTGTTTTAAACTCAATCTCGATCACAATTTTAATTTTGATTCTAAAATAAATGTGGTATATTAATCTCAAACTTAACTCTAATATTTTATTTGGTATCGATATATACTAGATACTTAATTAATTTCATTTAAATTTACAAATAAAATATATATTACCAAATGCTTCTCCTCTACAAGTAGCTCGACAAACCATTCTCCAAATTATATATAAAAAAATGGATCCAACAATCGTGCAAAACATATAGGAAAAATCTCAAGCACAATAACAATTGTGATCAAACTTGAAATGTAGTATTTTAGTGACCACGAATGGAATAAAATATTTTCAGTGACAAACGTGAATTTTTTTAGTGATCTTAATAACCAAAATTGCAATTTACGTTTTATTAACCATAGACAAAACATATATTTATAAATTTACACACCATAGTCTCCCTATTTGAATTCATTTTTTCTTTATGGCATTAATTAAATATTAAACAATAACTAACACCATTCAACACATAGACAAATAATAAAGAAACCTCATTGTTGATGTCGGGGTTGTAGTCGACTTCTTCTATCTTGGGCACCGAAGCGGCTTGATGTGCCCCTTCATCATAATCTTTCTTCGTGATTTTGCCTCCGATCGCTTCCTACAAAAAAGGGCACGTCGGTCGATATCGGTGGGGCACCCTCCTATGCTCAAGTTAGTCTCTCATGCGGGAGATAAAATAGTTCACAAAGTGTTTGTAGAAGGTAAACCCAGGAGATGAGAATTACTAATGGCAGTGGGCACGCTCAGGATCTTCAAATCAACATCCGAATGCAAACACATTCGGTCGACTAGGAAAGGATCCGATTTTTCTAGATTTGGGGGTTTGGTAAAAACAATCTATTCTAACATGAACGAACAAAAACTAACCCAAATGACAAGATCATATGAGAAACATACATTATCTTCTTATGAGCAGCTAAGAATGAAATGGATTGGAGGTTTTGGTACTTCTTTTAGGGTTTTTTGGTGGTAGAAGATGAAGGAAATGGAGAGAAAAGAAGAAAATGAGAAAGATGTGAAGGTAGAAAAATGAGTGGAGGAGGCTGCTGAATAATGGAGTAAAAGGTGTAGGAAGATAGGATTTGAACTGATTTATTTTCAAATTTGGTCTAGTAAGCCGAACAAGGCAGCGGTCAAAGCAATCAAAATCGAGATTTTATGTAAAATCGAAAATGGGGGTAAAATCGAAATCGTAAAATCGTAGAATTTTAAGGTCCATATAAAAATGAAGAAGGAATAATATTAGTAAGGAAAATCATGAATAACACAAAAGATGGTGAGTCAATGATGATTAATACGTTGATGTGAATTGATTATAGTCGATGGTGGTTAGTGTGAGAGAACTAGATGATGTTGGTGGAGGAGAAGAAAAAGAGGCATAATTTTTGCAAATTCTGGGGAAAAGTAAAATTGACTCAAAGATTTAAATCGTACAATCATAAGATTTTAAAGATTTTAAGGATTTAAATCGTTAATAGTGTAAGATTTTGAAGGTCCATAGATTTTATAGTGAAATCAGAATCGAAATAGGTAAGTAAAATCGTAAAAACGTAGGATTATAGGATTTTTAAATCGGAATTTTGACTACTCTGGCAGCTATCGACCTTTTTTAATCTAGTCGACCTCGTCATCCATCAGGTCGACCGTTTACTCTATTACATGAAATTTCAAAAAAAAATCAAATAACACATACTTATATTATGAAGATAACTTAAAAATACATAATGCGAAAATAAAATACTACTGACTCTTTCTAACTACAACATCCCAATCGACGGTCAAGTATAACCGCCTACCGGGTGTAGCATAGGGCAAGCCAGCAATAAGAATTTATCGTACCACGGGGATCTAGGCTTACCCTATTTCAGGTTTAGGGTTCGTTATCTAGCCAGCCTATGATAGTGATTAGAAGAATTAAACTAAGCTAACTAACCTAGACTAACCACTAACGTAGCTATGTACAAGGTGGGGAGCTCTCTTGGGTTGAATCGTTCTAGGTCCATTCTTTGGATCGATGTTGGATATCCTCCTAGCTCGATCGACTCAAATACCCTACCGTTTGGAGATGGACTCCCTCGGGAATGACCCAGAACAACAAATCGATGGATGGGTAGTGCTCTTTTCAACCTAGGATTTCTTATAATGCTAGGAGACCGGTCGAATCAACTCCCTCGGGGACTACCCCGGACAATATATGATAGGAGTGACCCGAAGACGCCAAAACGGGTGCTCTAATTAGATTATCTCCCTCCTAGGTCAAAAGCTCAATACATGAAAATAGAAACCCAACTCATGACATTCATGAAAACATCCATCAATTAAGTAAAATCATCAATCCAACATGGGGTTTGTCACATACATCAACATTAAACCAAAATCTAGACCTAGGTTTCTGAAACCCAAGAGAAGAGGGTGAGTTTCTAGAGAGAGAGAGAGGAGAGATTACAAAGAAACCTCTAGATCTTTTTCTTCTTCTAGGCTTGATTCCTTGCTTTCAACCTTGATCAATGCCTTCGATTAACCTCCAAGATCACTCTCTCACTCTCTAGAACTCCCCTTTGGTGTTTTGGGTTGAAACCCTAGAGAAAGAAAGTGTTCCTTCTCCAAAAACCAGCTCTCCTTTCTCTCCCCCCGTTGTTGTCTTCATATTTGCCCAAAAGTGACCAGTTCATGGCCGCGTTAGCCAGCTCACGGTCGCGAACACCTAAACGCGTCTGTGAACTCAGTGTCGTCTCCAACACGCACCGCTTCACTCTCAGGGTTCATGGTTTGTGCTCCAAGTTCACGGTCTTAAGACTGTGAACTGCCTTGCCATCGGTAACTTCTGGAACCTCACTGGACGACTCGGTGTTCACGGTTTGTGGTTCTAGTTCACGATCTCGGGAGAGCGTGAACTGCCTTGTCTGACCGTGAACTACGGTTGCTTCCTGGAAGCCTGCGCTTCACTGTTACGGGGCAATTGTCACGGTACTTTAGGCTTTTCTTCGATTTTTTGCGCTTTTTGACCTCCAATTATCCCAAAATTCGTCCTCGACCCTTCCACACGTGCTAGGACCTGAAATGTATCAAAACAAGCACAACCTAGCGTGAAATATGTCGAGGAACGATGATCTACTAAGCTAAACGAATAAGAAATGAGGGGTAAAATGTGTAAATTTGGGCCCGAATCAACTACAATCATAGTTAAAAAATCATACAAGAAATTCATTATCTTTTTTGAACTTTTTTTCGGACTTAGGGCAAAAATGACCATATTTCCCATATTCCGAACACTTTCTTATACTTTTGCCCGATGCATGTCGTGCCAACATGAATGTTCCTTTGGTCTTCCCAATTTTTGGGTCTTTCACATTTGGAAGGGGTGGGTTTGCAGGTCCAGTGGTAACCATTTGTACCCTCGATAGCTCAATTGCCTATTGAGTAAGGTTATCCAAATCCTTAGAGACATGATTAAAAGCAGCTTCACTATCACACGCAATGTCACACAAATGCTTACACTTTCTTACACTTCGGTGAAAATCCACCATGTCTAATCAGGCCGACTTTCTCTATCACATCACCTCCATCTTTAGGATTATGGGATAGTTTCTTTGCATTTTGGGTCCATTGAAGCTTGAACCACGTGGAGGGTAATGCTGTAAATCCCTTGTTTTTTATTATTGTAAATCCCTTGTCACACAAACTCTTACACTTTAGTGACAATCCACCATGTCTAATCAGTCGACCGACTTTCTCTATCACATCACCTCCATCTCCAGGATTACGAGATAGTATCTTTGCATTTTGGGTCCATCGAAGCTTGAACCACATGGAGGGTAGTGTAGTAAATCCCTTGTTTTTTTATGACTGTAAGCATATGTCTGCATGGAAACCCCTTAGATTCAAACATTGCACACTCACATTTAAGGTGTTGATTGGTCGGCGTAAATGTTAACCTCCTTCTCCGATTCAGGTGCATGCAGTTCTTTAGAATCAATTTTTTATCCCATCTGCTTCAATTATTGTCTCCGCTAACACATAAGAAGCTTCGTTCTCTAGTTCATACTTGAATATAGCAAATGCACGATGTGTGTAGATACTTTCATCTTGCATTTTCCATGTGCGAAGGGCATGCTTGCAGACCAACCTCGTGTGCCTAGAAGAATAATAATCATGCATCTCCGTGTATGCTTCATCAATGTCATGAACAAAAAGTTCCAAGCTGTATTGACTTCCTACGTATCCATTTATCTAATGGTTACATGACTCACATTGCAATGTTGATTGGAGTCCACCAAAATTAATATTCTTCAAGTATGCCTTTGCCCAAAATGATTTGCCA